CCTCTTTTCCATGTCCATGCGCTTGATCTCCGTCATGAGAGTCAGAGCGTGATCGTTTCGGACCACTGGACATCCAGACCTCAACCAACATTCGATCGTTGCCAGTCTTGGGTGTTTCACCACACATCCTGCGCGGGACCATGTGATGGTGTATCCCAATTCCACAAGTCCTCTGAGAGTAAGTGTAGGTTCTACCGGTGTCTCCGATGGAAGGGTTCCGTTCATGGGATTTTGGTAGAGCTGCGTGGCTCCGTGAGCCCTTTCAACCATGACCTGCATCGCTTTCTTGATCTCGTCGCTAGTTCCTTGTCGGAGGGGGTAGCAAAGCGACGACGCCTAAGACCGTCGCGCACGCGAGCCAACTTTTCTCCGCAACGTATAACTTCCGTTTTCCTGAAAGCACAATGTTTCGTGCAAAAATGCTAACATACAAATCGCATCCATGATGTAGCTGTTCCAATGCGATCTGCCAAGAATGACTTGCAAAACACAATCAGACTCGCAAGAATTTACTGAAGAACGAGTACCCTTCAAGACGCCTTGACGCAGCCATTCCACTGCGATCTGCACTGCGCAGAATGCATTGCAAAACAGACTAGCACAGCATCAGCAAAGAAGAGAAAAAGTCACCTGGAACCTTCAGTTACAGTGCGCGCGCAGTTCGAGCCAGATTCCACGGTAAACCCCGTCGCGCACGCGAGCGAACTTTTCTCCGCAACGGAATCTCCGTTCACCCGAAAAAAACACTGTCTATGGCGCAAATCTTAACATTCAAACCGTACCTTGGATGTCACTGTTCCAATGCGATCTAAGCAACAGTGTGTTAAAAAAACACAATCAGACTTGCAACACAGCACACCAGAACAAGTACCCTTCGAGAAGACTTGACGCAGCCAGTCCACTGATCTGCACAGAGTAAATTGCAAAACACAATAGCACAGCATCAGCAAAGAAGAGAAAAAGTCACCTACTCTTCTCTACTCTTCTCTTCCCATCCCTACTTTTTTCGACTCTACTCGACTCAACCTCTACCCGCTCAACTTCTACTCGACGGCTACATCTACCTACTCCACTTCTACACAGTTCTACTCTACTGTCCTCTACCCTACTCTGCTCTGCTCTACGCTACTCTTCTCTACTCTACTCATCTCTCGTCTTCTCTACTCTACGCAGCTTTACTCTGCTCTACTTCTACTTCTACTTCTACTTCTACTTCCACTTCCACTTCCACTTCCACTTCCACTTCCACTTCCACTTCCACTTCCACTTCTACTTCTACTTCTACTTCTACTTCTACTTCTACTTCTACTTCTACTTCTACTTCTTCTACTCTACTCTACTCTACCCTACTCTACTCTACCCTACGCTACGCTACGCTACGCTACGCTACTCTACTCTACTCTACTCTGCTCTACTCTACTCTACTCTACTCTACACAGCTTTTACTCTACTCTACTCTACCCTACCCTACTCTACTCTACTCTGCTCTGCTCTGCTCTACTCTACCCTACCCTACTCTACTCTGCTCTGCTCTGCTCTACTCTACTCTGCTCTACTCTACTCTACTCTACCCTACCCTACTCTACTCTACTCTACTCTACTCTACTCTACTCTACTCTACTCTACTCTACTCTACTCTACACAGCTTTACCCTACTCTACTCTACTCTACTCTACTCTAGACAGCTTTACCCTACTCTACTCTACTCTACCCTACTCTACCCTACTCTACCCTACTCTACCCTACTCTACTCTACTCTACTCTACTCTACTCTACCCTACCCTACTCTACTCTACTCTACTCTACACAGCTTTACCCTACTCTACTCTACTCTAGACAGCTTTACCCTACTCTACTCTACTCTACCCTACTCTACCCTACTCTACCCTACTCTACCCTACTCTACTCTACTCTACTCTACCCTACTCTACTCTACTCTACCCTACTCTACCCTACTCTACCCTACTCTACCCTACTCTACTCTACTCTACTCTACCCTACTCTACTCTACTCTACCCTACTCTACCCTACTCTACCCTACTCTACCCTACTCTACTCTACTCTACTCTACCCTACTCTACTCTACTCTACTCTACTCTACTCCACTCTACTCTACTCTACTCTACTCTACTCTATTCTACTCCACTCTACTCTACTCCACTCTACTCTACTCACTCCACTCTACTCTACTCTATCCACTCTACTCTACTCTATCCACTCTACTCTACCTCTACCCCTACCCCTACCTCTACCTCTACCTCTACCCCTACCCCTACCTGTACCTCTACCTCTAGCCCTACCCCTACCTCTACCCCTACCTCTACCTCCTCTACCTCCTCTACCTCTACCTCCTCTACCTCTACCTCTACCACCTCTACCACCTCTACCACCTCTACCACCTCTACCACCTCTACCTCTACCTCTACCCTACTCTACTCTACTCTACTCTACTCTACTCCTACTCTACTCCTACTACTACTTCTGCCTCTACTCTCCCCTACTCGACCTCTGCAAAGGACACAATGATCTTTGGGCTAGTGAGAATGTGACTTCGTGACTTCTTAAGGCACATGCCAACTGGACACAATGATCTTTGTGCTAGTGAGAATGTGAAAATCCGTAACTTGGACTTTCCTCCATATGAAACTTCCTTTGTATATAAGATATTTTAATTTGTAATATTTTGATTTATTCTATTTTCAAATATTTCATTATATGATATTATTTTATGTTATTATAGTATATTAGATTTTTCTTTTAATTTATTAGAGAATATTATATTATTATTTTTAAATGTATTCTGTATTTTTCTATTGTATGATATGTTGGTTTTATATTATATTCAAACTTTGCTATATGTTTTTATTTATTTATTGTTGTATTAATATTATAATGTATTGATTTTATACTGTATTGTATTGTATTGTATTGTGCTGTATTGTATTGTTTTGTTTTGTATTATATTAAATCGTGCAGACCCTTTTATATTGATGTAGCAGTGTGTAAATATCATTTGTTTTTAACTAATACAGTCTTGTACGAATATTTTCGTGACAAACTATTACATTCATATTGTATTGTATTATGAATATATTGTAATGTATTCATATTGTTTTTTGCTATTATATATTGTATTTATATCATAATGTATAAGTAAGACCTAAGTCTAAGCACCTGCAGTAAGCAGATCCCATGAAAATAGGTCCCGAATCTGGGTGATGTGTTGATCCTGGCCTCTTCCAGGCTCAAATTTTAAGCAAACAAGGGATGGTACATATTCAAAAAAGGAATTCTAAATATTCAACAATCAAAATTTATCAGGGAAATATTCAACAATCTAGATGCAAAGGCTATTCGTTGGGGAACATTTTCCGCAAATTGACAAGACTAAGATACGAGAAACAACAGGCACAAAAAACAGAACAACTTCTGACCAGGAAAATTCCAGAAATGCAAGTTCCTCAATTAATCCATTTCTTGCCACTTTTTGAGACCAGAAAAAGTGATTTGATGTGGCCACAAAGGGTTTTCCCCCGGGACTGGGGACCTCCTACAATCTGACCAAATACTACGCCCATTGGCGTATTTCAAAAAAAATATGGGTCTGATTGGGTCTCAAGTATGCTTCGCTAACTGGTTGGGGGGGCTGACACTCTCTTGGGGCAAGAAAAGGCGAAAAACCAGGCAATTGAATCGATTGTTGGCAGATTTCTGTGCAAAAAAGGTCGCCTTACACTGGAGGGCAGTTGGCAGTTTATGAATTGTGGGCCAACATGTACACTACAGATTCCAAGAATCTGCTTACTGGAGCTAGGTCATCTAGAATCTAGATGTGGCATGTGGCTGGTCCCACACTTTCGGGCCTGTGGTTGTGGCATGCCTCACCATCCGAATTGCACAGCTTTAGGATAATAAAGCGGAATTGCATTGAATTGTGTTATTTTGCTTTCCTTTTTTTGTATTGTATAGTACCGTTATATTTTTTGAAAATATAGTTTGATTATATTGTTTTTTTCTCGCATTTTGTCGTATTATACTTCATTATATTCTATTGTATTATCTTTTTGTATATAATACTATCCGCAAACCCTGCGTCTCGATTCAAGGAGTGGCTTACCAAGGGTGGTATTCCAAGAGTGTCTCACAAAGGGTGTCTTACTAAGAGTGTCGCTCCAAGAGTGTCCTTGTAAGAATGTCTCACTGAGAGGGTGTTACTCAAAGGATAGGACAAAGGTCAGTGGTAGAACAAAGGTTAGTGGTTAATGGTTAACTTGGTGATACCGGTGACATGTCGCACGAAGAGTGTCGAGAGTGTCACTCAAAGAGTTTGGGTGCCCTTTCGGGCGACGATGAGACATAGGGTTTGCGCGATGCACGTATACATTAATATTGTGTAGTATATTGTATTATATATATTTTTTTTCGAAACATATTGTGTTGTCATTTTTTTTTTATTATTGCGCATTGTATTATGTTATTTGTTTTTTATTGTATTAGAATACATTATATGATAATGTATAATTATATATTCTTTTGATTTTCAAGATGTTTTTTATTGTATCATATCATATCATACCTTATTTTTATATTTCATAGTTTCTTTCAAATTAGACTGTATTCCATTAAATTGAACCATTTGTGTTTTTGTCTTATTTTTGTTTTGTGATATTATGTCACATTATATTATATTCTTTTCTGTTATCTTTGGTTGTTTTTCTATAGCATGTGAGATGTTATTGCACTATGTGTTTGAATTATATTATTACTTTGTGTTTTTTATTGATTGCTTGATAGTTCATGAGTCGGCACATAGCACATATGCAACATCGGCATGCGACCTTTTTGCCGTGATGCCCACAGTTGCTGCAGATATCAAAGTCCAATATCCTTTGGGATGTAGCGTCACATCTCATGCAAATTAAGGCCATGTTTGTGACCATGATTTCTTGTTTCACCCTGTGACACTGCAGCGCAGTGAACGCAGCGCACTGCCAAGGCAAATGTTCAACAAGCAGATTTGGCACAAGGTGGGGAAGCAGCGCCCATCAAGTTCGAGGTTGTGAATCTTTGCCCACATGAATAATCCAATGCAAAAACCGGGAAACTATGGGAAGCGATAGAGAACTGTTTCAGAAAGGTGTGGCCCTGAGGTCTCGCAGAAATGCATCAGGGAGCCCATCTATGGCACAGAGGCGTTGTACTTTCGCAATGTCTACAACCCCAACACGGTGCGAGTCAATGGCGAGAAGGCGAGGTATAGCAAAGTATGGCGCAGCATGGTGCGATGTGTATAGTTTTCTTGTCGAATGTCGTCTATGTGATCATCATCATCATCACCATCATCATCATCAGCATAAGCATCAGCATCATCATCGTTGCTTTCATTTTTACAATGCTAGAAAATTTAGAATGTGCTTTAGAAGGTTCTCCACCTCTCCATTTCTTGGCCGTCGGCTGTACGTCTCAAAAATCAGGTGGAAGCGGAGACCTTCAAAAATACCTTCCGACGCCATGTGGAGGAGCCCGGAAAGCTGGAAAGCATAGATTAACAAGCTCAGAAGTTCAAAGATTTTTTCCGGATCTGCCAGAACACGTCAGAGCTCATAGGTTCAGCGACGTTCGGCGGGTCAATGTCCTTCACGATGAAATGTTGCACTGGCATGCTGTCGAAATGTTTCCAAAGCGCACAGAAGAAAAGCATATACCGTTTATGTATGTATGAATACATAATTATATGAATAAAAATAGAACATAACTGAAAATAACAAACTAACTCAATAGATTAACACAAAAAAGACATAGATAAACACTTGCTCAGACTTGTCTTATCGAATTGTGATGTGGAGTGTGTCGGACGTGCAAAACACACTCCATTAAATCCTGACCAGAGAAGAAATTGGAGTTGGGAGCTGAACCTTCCCCGTCGAGTTCCAAAAAAAAACAAATAAATAGTCGAAATAACCAGCGCCATAAGTTGTCAAATAGATGCCAAATAAGTTGTCAAAGTTACTATCGCCATAGCCAGTGTAAGTTGCTATAGCTCAAGTGAAGGTAAGCTTCAGAGCGTAGCATCAAGTGGATGTTGAAAAGTGACATGGCAAACTTAAGAGGGTAGCATCAAGTCCATGTTGCAAGTTACCGTAGCATCAAGCGCGTGCTTGAAGCTACATGAGGAAGTCAGTCGTGTAGCACCAAGTGCATGGTTACATGATGTTACATGTGAAAACCGAGTGCGTTATTGAGACGTAAGAGACACGAACGTTTTTAGGCGCCACACCCCACCCCACCCAACCCCGTTGGAGAAGTCCCCGCCCCTCGGGTACATATATATATATCTTGTGTATAGACGTATATGTGTGCATTTGTATACGATCACAATGTGCACATTTCTACAGGTTTCTACAGTGATCTTTGAGCGTAAATTTGATGACGGAAATCATGAAATGGGATCTACATTGCCTCCGCTTGGTGCTCTCACATCAGACTCTTGCCGCAACAAATGCATCCAAAGATCACGTGGCAAAGATGTGCAGCGATCTTGTGCTAAAGCTCTTCGGGATCGGGTACGATGTTAAATGTCGGCTGACTATCCGTCACCCGTGAATTTAACATGGTTAGGTTGAATTGGCCTATCCCTGAAAAACAATGCCGCTGAGGATATCTAGACAGAGTTGTTGTTATTCTAACATCAAGTGTGTTCATCACTTTCTTCTCCAAACATGGTCAGATGAGCTTGTTACTTCCTACTTCCCGTAGCCTTCGCTGTCCGTCGTCAACTTTTTGCACGTTTCATCATTCTCCTTGACTTGTTGACATAGACATTTTTGAAGTACATTTATATTGTGATTCATTTTGGTTCTCGTCACAGTTTTGACATCAGTTTTTATCCGTGTATTAAATTGTCGTGGGAAATCACTACCTTGTCTTTGAAGACCCTTCTGCTTGGGAAATTCGCGCTTGCCCCAGAAAAAATTGATACGTTTTCTTCAACTACCAATTTACATCTGAAACGGCAACGGAAACGCAAAATCTTCCAAAAACGAATCAATCCGAACGAATCGGACACGAGTGCCAGTGCAAGGTTGCTCAAGTACAACAGCAAAGTCACCAGACACAAGGGTTTCGACTCAGCGTTCCAATGGGATTTGAATTTACAGGCCCCATGAATTCCGAGGAATTCATTAGCCAGGTCAGCTGTTTCATGACACTGTCTTGTTGACACATACATAGTGACTGAACAACTTCTATAAATTTGAATTTTGTATCGCATTTTATCCCTAAGACATGATTTTGAAAGCTCGATGACTTTCAACCAGCCATTTGTTTCCCGAGGCACTGATTCACTGGGAGGTTTACATAGATTTACGAACACAAATTTCACAAATCATGAGTGAGGTGTCAGGATTTAAGATGCCACTGCTCACTGCAAAAATGCTTGTGGATTCGCGCAGTTGTCTCATTCTGTCAAACAGCAACTGAGCCCAGCACCGCATTGGGCCGGGCCTTCTATCATCGTTCGGACCAGTGGCAAGAACCCCCCTGATGCATCCAGCATCCAGTCATTCTTAGAAGCGACCAGAGTACCTGTATCTATCACTGTACCTGTACTAAATCCAATCAACCGGTGTTACTTTTTTTCGCCGGAAAAAGCACCCTTCTTATTTTTCCTCGTGTTTTGAATCTGAAGTTGTACACTTGTACTGCAGGAGCTCAGCCATGCAGTGCCTTACTTGGAATGCCTGGAGCGCCGTCAGCTGAATGCCTGGAACCTCTTCAAGGCACCCATCATTTCAGCTGTTTTGAACACCTGAAAGGGGAGTCGTTTGTAAAGGCGATGTAGCTTTGGTTCACCAAGAACAACACAACTCCAACAACAAATAGCAGCAGAAGCAGCAACAAGACCGAGAACAACAGAAAGGACAGGAAGGGGAGGAGGAGGAGGAAGAAGAAGAAGAAGAACGACAACGATGGACGACAATGGACAACAACAATGGACAACAACAATGGACAACAACAATGGACAACAACAATGGACAACAACAATGGACAACAACAATGGACAACAACAATGGACAACAACAATGGACAAGAACAATGGACAACAACAATGGACAACAACAATGGACAACAACAATGGACAACAACAATGGACAACAACAATGGACAACAACAATGGACAACAACAATGGACAACAACAATGGACAACAACAATGGACAACAACAATGGACAACAACAATGGACAACAACAACAACAGACAACAACAACGGACAACAACAACAGACAACAACAACAGACAACAGACAACAGACCACAACAACAACAACAACAATGGACAAAATACTGGCAAGTTCAGATTAGCAATGGTGCATCAAGTTTTCCGAACCGCATTATATGATGATGTGTGCTTGGCATGCAATCTCAATTTGGTTACATGGAAACATTTGATGGATGTATACGTGTACTGTATACGTATTTTGATTGAGCGCGCGTTGTTGAGATTTGTTCGCGCGGTCAATCAGCCAATCAATTAATCAGCCACTCAGCCAGTACGGCCGGGTCAGAGATGCCATACTGTTTGGATGGCTCAGTGGTCACTTCTTCTTTTGGTTCGGAGTCATCGTGCATTGTGAAGAAACATGTTAAATCATATTCATATACCATAATATTGCCAGAAAAATGCCTAAACAGCTGCTTCAAACGGTGAGCTGCGTCGATCTAACGATGCAACGATCCGTTTGAACCGTGGCGCGTGCAGAACGAATTGGTGGAGAAGGGCCTGGAGAACCGTGGCCTTGGGGAGCTGCGGCTCCACTGGCAGGACACCGACGAAGCTTGGCTCGGCGTCAAATGGAAGAATTGCAGGGTTGAAGTATTTAAATAAATATATACGTATTAATATGCATAATATATATATATAAATAATATACGTATTATGTATATATATATAATACGTATTATGTATATATATAATATTCATAGTGTATATATATATATGCTAGGATAGTCACGACATGTTTACTTGGTGTATCTTAGTGATATGATGATATGTCTGGATCGTACATGCCAGTAATTTTGAATGCTGTTCTACATGTCAGTCATACTAGAAACATGTGTGAGCATGTTGTTACAAGGCACGTGACTTTTGTCGCGTATTACTGCACATCATGCATACGTCACTTGATGTACGTCATGCAACACAGAGCAGGTGTGAATGCACGCAGGCCAACAGCAATGCCAACAAAGACAAATCAAAGCTGGCAATGCATGGGCATTGTGGAACTGTTTATTTTGTATCTTCTGCAGAGTTCATTTTCAGCCCAACATTGAGAGACAACTGAAATACGTGCTCAGCATCACACTTTTGCGCGCTTTTAGCGACTTTAAGTTTGAGAGGAATGACAAAGATGTAGTGTCAATGCCTTGCCAGAAACAATTCATTTTAGCACGGTTTCTGACACATTTTGCTTTTGAAAAAAGTCAGTCAGACACTTAGACCAGAATAGGATTGCAATTCGACACCGCAAGACGACAAGAGATGACAAGAGTCCTAGTGATTTCAACCGAGAGCACAAGAAAAGAAAGAAGCTCTACAGATGTCACTGGAGCTCACCGTAAATGATTAGTGAGGGGAATCAGCATATTGCCACAAATAAGGTTTTGGACATTTTGGATTTGCAGCTTTCCCATGTGATGTGTTTGGGCCAGTCGGTGTGCGTTGTGATAGGGCTGAATGTCTGGCCACCTCATGTTGATGGTATGTTTTTGCACCTGCCGAGAATTTGGAAATGCTCAACAAGCTTCAGTCCTTGATGCTGCGTGGAGTGCAGAACCCAGCTTGAGTCTTGCATGGAACGAAGAGCAGAGAAGCTGCACGTCAGGATTGTTGGGATGGAGGCAGCTCTTGTTTGTTCTTGCCCGGGTTTAAGAGGGTTTAAGCTGACCCCAAATGTATGCTGTATGGGGTTTAACGTGTGGAGGGTTGAGGGTGAGGAGGGCTCTGCACATTGTCGAAGGAAGTTTAGAAGTCATACTTCCGACAATATGGACAGATGGCAAAGCAGAGGTGGGAAGAGTCAGAGAAGAGAACAGAAGAGAAGAAGAAAGAAGATGCAGGTGCGCGAAAAGGTATCAAAGCGCTGCGTGTTTTCCAATGTTTTGTGGCTCCGAGGGTCATAAAGCAGGCTCGCTAAAGCGGCGGGTGCGGAGCCATTGGGTCAGATGAGAGATCAAAAAGTGCACGCCGTTATGGCCCGAAGCAGATTTCGAAGTTAAAATGCGAAAAGCACTTCATTGGAGCACTTTTGGAAGTTGAGCTGTTCAAAAAGTGTACGTGGCTGTGGCGCGAGGCACATTTCGAAGCCAAAGTGTTCAAAACGCTTCATTGTTGGAGCACTTTTGGAAGTTGAGCTGTTCAAAAAGTGCCCGTGGCTGTGGCGCGAGGCACATTTCGAAGCCAAAGTGTTCAAAACGCTTCATTGTTGGAGCACTTTTGGAAGTTGAGCTGTTCAAAAAGTGCACGTGGCTGTGGCGCGAGGCACATTTCGGAGCCAAAGTGTTCAAAACGCTTCATTGTTGGAGCACTTTTGGAAGTTGAGCTGTTCAAAAAGTGCACGTGGCTGTGGCGCGAGGCACATTTCGAAGCCAAAGTGTTCAAAACGCTTCATTGTTGGAGCACTTTTGGAAGTTGAGCTGTTCAAAAAGTGCACGTGGCTGTGGCGCGAGGCACATTTCGAAGCCAAAGTGTTCAAAACGCTTCATTGTTGGAGCACTTTTGGAAGTTGAGCTGTTCAAAACGTGCACGTGGCTGTGGCGCGAGGCACATTTCGAAGCCAAAGTGTTCAAAAAGGCTTCATTGTTGGAGCACTTTTGGAAGTTGAGCTGTTCAAAAAGTGCACGTGGCTGTGGCGCGAGGCACATTTCGAAGCCAACGTGTTCAAAACGCTTCATTGTTGGAGCACTTTTGGAAATTGAGCTGTTCAAAAAGTGCACATGGCTGTGGCGCGAGGCACATTTCGAAGCCAAAGTGTTCAAAACACTTCATTGTTGGAGCACTTTTGGAAGTTGAGCTGTTCAAAAAGTGCACGTGGCTGTGGCGCGAGGCACATTTCGAAGCCAAAGTGTTCAAAACGCTTCATTGTTGGAGCACTTTTGGAAGTTGAGCTGTTCAAAAAGTGCACGTGGCTGTGGCGCGAGGCACATGTCGAAGCCAAAGTGTTCAAAACACTCCATTGTTGGAGCACTTTTGGGAGCTGTTCAAAAAGTGCACGTAGCTGTGGCGCGGGGCACATTTCGAAGCCAAAGTGTTCAAAACGCTTCATTGTCGGAGCACTTTTGCAAGTTGAGCTGTTCAAAAAGTGCACGTGGCTGTGGCGCGAGGCACATTTCGAAGCCAAAGTGTTCAAAACGCTTCATTGTCGGAGCACTTTTGCAAGTTGAGATGTGCAAAGAGTGCACGGGGTTGTGGCGCGAAGCACATTTCCAAGTAAAAAGTTGTATAATTAAAGGACTGGATAACGCCACAAGTCAACTTCTTCCAATAATCAGAAACAAGGATTGAAGCGGTATGGAGAAGGCAGGAAATGGCAAACGAGATGGTGGAGGATCGATCGTTTTAAAGAGTTGTATGTGAAAGAGTTGCTCGAAAGTAACACATGCCCAAACATGGCTTGCGAAGACCTGGCGGGCAATCAATTGCTCCAGCCCAGTGCCACAAGTGCGCCTACCACACAAAAGCAACGTGGACGTCACCAAGTGCCACGCCTGCCACGCAACAGGTGCTTCAATGTCATCAAGTGCCATGCCTGCCATGCAAAGTGCCGCTGTGTCAGGGCCACGCCTGCCACGCACTTGCAGCGTGGATGTCACCAGGCGCCATGCCTGCCATGGACAAGCGATGTGGATGTCACAAAGTACCAAGCGACGTGGATGTCACCAAGTACCATGCCTGCCACGCAAAGTGCCGGCGTCACAGCGGACCAAGGCACAAGCGCGTGTGAGAGAAAGTTGTGTGACAAAGTTGTGTGTGAAAGACTTGTGTCAGAGAATGTTGTGTGTGAGAAAGTTGTGTCTCTAAGACACAGTGCCTAAGAGTTGTGTGTGTGTGTGTGACAGAGTTGTGTGTGATAAAGTGGAGCGGAGGCGGCGGACGCGGGCGACGGGATAGAGAACAAAAGTTAGAACCCCACACAAAGATGCGGGCAAAAACACAGCGCGTTGGGAACATGTTTAACAGTTGAGATGTTGAAAAGGTGCGCACTGTTGTGGTGTGAAGCACATTTCGAAGTCAACCTGGTAAAAGCACCACATGTTTGGACCACTTTTGGAGGTTAAGATCCCGAAAAAGTTTACGCACACAACACGTTCGGACTACTTTTGGACGTTCATGGCACGACGACGACGACGACGACGACGACAAGGACGACGACAAGAACAACAACAACAACAACCACAACCACAACAACAACCACAACAGCCCGTGGGGGGGGAACCGTGCCAGAGTTGTGAGCGCTTTGAATAAAAAGACGTGTTCGCCATAGCGAAACTATTGGTTCATTTCCCAAAATAGGCTTGAAATTCCCCGGTAATTTGAAGTGTTTTTTTGATGATGGCCTGTAATTTACAGGGAATTTGTTCTTGAAAAGGTGCGTGGTGTTTTTTTCCATCTCACATCGCCATGCGCTTCTTCAAGGAGCGACCAGTGACCTCCAAAAGGCTTTTGGTTTTGGAGTTCATCCAACGCCATTGCCACACCTTGATGCTTCGCATCAATTTTGGGTTAACATGGCCGTTGGTTCTGGTCGAGAGACTACACGGTATGGCCGACTTTGACAGTCGCCACATCGCATCGACCCCACCTGTGCTAAATGAATAAGAGACATGCAACAAAGTGAAAAACAATTGACAACATGAAGCTCACGGTCGACAGTTTTCTATATGTATCAACATCTGTTTTACATATATACAAACATCTGTTTTTATATAATATGTAATTATATGTATCTACTTCTGTGCCCATCCTACATTTATGATGCCAGAACTGGGAAACCCAACCCAGTCGTCAACACCACATCTCCCCCAACCCGGTGACGTGACGCAGCATGTGCATGTGACGCAAGTTCGCATGAACGTTAACACCCAGCCAAACCCAGCGACGTGGCGTAGCATGTGCATGTGACGCAACTTAACATGAACGTTAACACCCAGCCAAACCCAGCGACGTGGCGTAGCATGTGCATGCGACGCAGGTTAACATGAACGTTAACACCCAGCCAAACCCAGTGACGTGGCGTAGCATGTGCATGTGACGCAAGTTAACATGAACGTTAACACCCCCCAACCCAGTGACGTGGCGTAGCATGTGCATGTGACGCAACTTAACATGAACGTTAACACCCCCGAACCCAGTGACGTGACGTAGCATGTGCATGTGACGCAGGTTAACATGAACGTTAACAATCCCGCCAACCCGGACAAAAATGCTTGTTTTCAAAAACGTGCACGACTACTGGCGCGGTTTTCCCCCCGCTGGCAAGAACAAGAACAAGAGCAAGAACAACAACAAGAACAACAACAACAAAAACAACAGCAACAACGACAACAACAACAACGACAACAACAACGAAAACGACAACGACTACGACTTCAACGACTACAGCGACTACAACGGCTACAACAACTACAACGACTACAACAACCACAACGACTACAACGACTACAACGACTACAACGACTACAACGCCTACAACTACAGCTACAACTACAGTTACAGCTACAACGCGAACTACAACTACAACTAGAACTAAAACTAGAGCTACAACTGCAATTACGCCACACTACACGAATTACACTAAAGTGTACAACTACACTACCGTACATTAATTACAATACACTAGCCACACTACACTACACCGCACTAGACTACACTACACGAATACTACACCTACAGCTACAGCTACACTACACTACACTAATTACATTACACTACAACTGGAACACCACTACACTAGACTACACAACTACAACTGCGCTACACCACACTACATCCAGCAGTTGTGGTTGAGGGGGCCACTGCAACCAGTCCAAAACCAACTTTCGGTCCAGCAGTGGTTCGCTCTGCCATCCATGCATAACAACAACTCCCCTCTCCTATAGTGTCCTATCTTTGAAACTTCTGCTGCCGACTTGCGGGGCACTACTGGCATTGCAAAGCATTAGCCCAAATTAGCCCAGATCTTGAAAGTTTTTTTGATCGAACCAAGTGCCCTGCGGCCTTGGTAGTCCCAGCTTTGCAGGTGCCAAGTGCTTTACGGCCTCAGGTGTGGGCCGAGCCCGGGAACTCGATCGTATCATCTCAGAAAAACCATTGGGTTATCTCACGCAGTTTCTTGTGGGAATCAAAATGAAGAAAACACAGATCGGATAAATGTGGAAATCATGTGTTTGAACATGTTCGAACGATTGATGCTGTAAGGGTAAATTCATTGAAACTGCCAACAGTATTGGCTAGCAATACCGTCGCTGACCAAAACTTGGATGACATTGACCATTGAAGGGCATTCATTTCCAGGGTTTCACACTGTAGCATTTGCGCTTGGGTGAAACCTGGATGCTGTGGATCTGCCAAATCCTCGCCCACAAGCAGTGGATCCTGCGAAGAACTTCCGGATGAACCCCCAAGTACATCAGATCGTAGCAGAAAACACATGGTTTTTCCCGAATGATCCCGACTGCGTAGCGAAGGGTTCTCGTTTATGTTTGGGGTTCGCTGGAAGTGGCTTTCCCGCTGCGACCGTTCGCAACCGTGCGCAACCGTTCGCGATGCGGATTATCTGGCCGTGCCTATAGCTAACATTGCAAAAACTGTCATGTTTGAAGGCTTTGAAGCACCTGGCATGTAGTTTTGTGTGGCAGGCGTGGCAGGTCGTGACATTCCACATGTCGATTTTTTTTTGTGTGACAGGAGCAGTACTTCCGAAAGGTTTTTGTCAGATGACTTTCATTTCTTGTGGCAGCGCAGCACCTCAGAGATGTCCATTTTTTCGTGGCCGGGGCAGTGCTTCAGACATGTGGTGCGATGTGTTTTTTGCAAATCGCAATAGTGTTGTGTGTTACAAAGCGCAAATGTACTGGCCGGCAGAGACCATGGTAAGAGTGTCATTTTCCTGGGGCGCAGTACTTGGTGAAGTTCCGTCCTGGGTAGAATATCATTTTTTGTGGCAGAGGGACTCTACACTCCACAATCTACACTGCACTCGAGATTCTTCACTCTACCCTCTTCACACTCTACATTCTAAATGCTACACTTCAACTCTACGCTCATCTACAGTACAGTCTACACATCACACTACACTACACTCCACACTCCACACTGCGCACTCTGCCCTCTACACTCGGACCTCTCTACTTCGCATTTCACACTCCTTACTTTACACTTAAGGTTTTTTCATGGGAGTTGCTTGTTTCTTTGGAGATGGTTGCAAGTGGTGGGAGCCTTGAAGTCGTTACACAAATTCTTGATGCATGAGCTGGACGTGCCCTTAGGGTTGATACTGGGGGCCCTGTGCGAAAACAACATACCCTGGTTCTAGGCTGTCTGGGAATATGAATCAAGGGCACCGTGAGCGCTCAAAGTGAGACTTCATATCGCGAGAAGTATCGGCTTGACGCGAGAGAGGACGGGCTTGATTTGGGCGTTCATTTTCACACAAGTCAAAATAGGTAATAGATGGTAATAGCAACCATGGACTTATAATGGCAGCAACCAGCAACAACATTCAACCCTGAAGAGTCAAGTAGTGTTTCTTAAAGCAATACTACCGTCCAAAGAAACAATACTTGACTCTTCAGGGTTGAATGTTGTTGCTGGTTGCTGCCATTATAAGTCCATGGTTGCTATTGCCATCTATTACCTATTTTGACTTGTGTGAAAATGAACGCCCAAATCAAACTCGTCCTCTCTCGCGTCAAGCCGATACTTCTCGCGATATGAAATTGCAATCGAACAGTGCAGTATGTGGAAACTTATTGTTTGAAGAAACCTTAGTGTAGCTCAATCTGAAACTTCACAATTTGAGTTGAAGGTTCCCAAATAGTGACATGTGGTATTGTGGTTTGACTTTTCTTGTTTTGTGGGTTGTATGGTGTGCATTTGTGCCACTGCAGAAAAGGTTGCTCCACACGAGAATAATCGAGCATGGCAAATATAGTGTTGGCAACCAGATATGCTGTTGCTTGTTTGCTGCAAGCCTTGTTTTATTCCGATGATTGGAGGGTGGATCACTTGTCAAAATGCTGGTTTTCCTATTGTTAGTGTTGGTGGAGCAGGCGGAACATTTGAAATGTAAAAGGGAGTCAGATCGCATCTCAGAAGCATGGATGAGTAGTTAAATACTTCGGCCTCTTTCAATCAATAGATGGGAATAGTTACTAGCCAGCTCAAAAATGCATGGTTTCTATGGCCATGCTACGTAAGAACCCTATTCATACCTTTGCTTGCAAGAGGTGGCAAAAGGGGCAACATATCCACTCGACATGTGACTTCAACTGCCTTTGAGAGCTGTGTATCAACCCTTTCGACCCCTTTGTCACGCCTCGACATTTCCACCTCGACATTTCCTTGTCGTGTCCGGTCCCAGGGTGACACTCGCATCGCGGGTCTCTGCGACCGATGGAGCCGGTCAAACCCGCGACTATGCCGACGAAGCTCGGATTGGCACGTCAGTGACCGTCAGTGGAGTTCGCATTGCACTGTGAACATCTGTGAACAACTCTCTCAGAGAACAGCGAGACAACGTGAGACAACAAGAAGCGCAAAAACATCAACGAAAACAGAGAGGAGTGGCATAGTCAAGATTGTGAAGCAGCAGTTTCTGGGTCCAGGGTAGCTGCAATGTCACTGCAAACGGGAGGGTTGACATCGCGGAGGTTGTTTCAGTTTGGATGTTGTCTTTCTGCTTGAGTTTGCAGCTCTAGTTCTCGGATCTGGGATATGAAAATTGCCATTTTCTCTTCTTTACACGGATGGCGCCAAGGAGGAGGAGTTGGCTCTTGCGGCTGAAAAGGCCGAGTTGAGAGAGTTTCCACTCAGATAACTTTCGCCGGTAGGATGTGATTTCCGAATACTTTGAAAGATCATTTAAGACATGCATATATGCAGTATATACCAGTAGTACCGCACAAGGCGGTGGCGGAAGTTTCAAAAATAGGAAACCTATAGGAGAGCTTGGTTGTTGTGAATCAGGGATGGCAGAGCGAAGCCACTGATGGACTGAAAGGTGCTTGATCTCTCTCTCTCTCTCTCTCTTTCTTTCTCTCTTTTCTCTCTGTTTCTCTATCTTTCTCTGATTACCTACCTACCTACCTACCTACCTACTGATCTATCTGTCTATCTATCTATCTATCTGTCTGTCTGTCTGTCTATCTATCTCCCTATCTATCTATCTATCTACCTATCTATCTAGCTGTCTAGTTTTCTAGCTATTTGTCTATCTATCTATCTATCTATCTTTCTATCTATCTACCTACCTATCTATCTATCTACCTGTCTATCTATCTGTCTATCTATCTGTCTATCTATCTATCTATCTCTCTCTCTCTCTCTGTCTGTCTGTCTGTCTGCCTGCCTGGCTGGCTGGCTGTCTGTCTGTCTGTTTATCTATCTACCTGTCTATCTGCAGGCTTGAAAACCAAGCTATTCTGCGAGATGTCTTCATTTTTCAAAGTTGACAACATCAAAAACGAAGCAATTCTGCGAGACTTCCTCAATGTTTGAACTTAACGACCTCAAAAACGAAGCAATTCTGCGAGACTTCTTCATTTTTCAAAGCTGACACCCTAAAAAACACAGCATTTCAGCGAGACTTCCTCAATTTTTGCATTTGACAACATCAAAATCAATGCAATTCTGCGAGACTTCCTTCAAAAATGGAAAGTTGAGTGCAGCGCTGACAGCCTCGTACCAATGCGTTTTGCGATTTTTCCACTCCACCTGTCTAAAGTACTGTGCCTGCCACGAAAAATTGATGCCAGGTCATACGAAGTGCTGCACCTGTCACGCTAAATTATCTTCGCAAACCTACAGATCTCATGCACCAAAATGCAACCCCTCTCAGGAAATCAGCGCCCTGACCTCCTAACATCTCTCATGAACGTGTCTTTTGTACTGCGCCTGCCACGGAAAATGCATCTTTGCAGATCCTCTTCAATTGTCCCACGCCTGCAATCGTTTTTGGAAATGCGACGAAACCCTCACGTTTTGCTCACTTTTGACAAGGTGCACAATCCCTTGCGCCTGCCACGCGAAACGAGCTCTGAATGTCCAAAAGTGGTCCGAACGTGGTGTGTTTCGTGCATTTTGACTTCGAAATGTGCTTCGCGCCACAACGGCGTGCACTTTTTTGACATCTCAACTTCCAAAAGTGGTCCGAAGCTGGTGTGTTTTGTACATTTCGACGTCGAAATGTGTTTCGCGCCACAACGGCGTGCACTTTTTCGACATCGCAACTTCCAAAAGTGGTCCAAGCATGGTGTGTTTTGTACATTTTGACTTGGAAATGTGATTCGCGCCACAACAGCGTGCAATTTTTCATCTCTCTCGTCTGGCTCTGCACCCGCCGCTTTAGCGAGCCTACTTTTCGACCCTCCGGAGCCACAAATCATTGGAAAAACACAGTGTTTCGCGACTTTCCTACCTTTTCGCGCATCTGCGTCTTCTTTCTTCTGACTCTTTCTCTTCTCTGATCTTCTCTCTTCTGATCTTTCTCTTCTCTCTGCCTTTGCCCTGCTCTGCTTTTCACCTGCCCATATTGTCAAAAGTTTGACTTCTAAACTTCCTTCGGTTATATTACATATATATTGTGGGAAAAAACTGTGTCTCACCAGTTGAGTGCTGCCAGGAATACCAGGCGTTGCTCGCCCGAGGGATGGAGCTGAACTCCGATGCCATGCATCAGCTGCACGAGGATGTGATCCTGACACGTCATTGGACCGTTACGACGTTGGACAACACGTTGGTGCGATGCTCGGGACGACTTCCTTGCAATGACTTGCTAAAGCTATATAGAACCATCCGATTCTTAGGGATTCTTAACGCATATCTTGGCATGTTCGCATCTGGAAAAGCATGTCGGTTCGAGTTTTGAAGCAGGCTTGGCATGCTTGGGGAGAGTGGCCTTGTGACCTGAATTTCTACATGACAAAGAAAACGTGTGCAACATTTGCACATGATCTAAAAATTCTCAAATGACAAAAGGACGCAATGTGATTGCGTGTTAGAGACCTTTTGGCACATGAAAGTATTTGCAGTTTGCAGAATACAGTCTTGCCATGTCTCACCTTGCGCTTTGTATGACGTAAATTGATGCGTGTTTGATGAATCGAAATCGGGGTTGAAGGGATGCAATGTGTATGAAACATATTGCAACATCAGCCATTGTGGATGTTGGTATCCGTCACCAAGTCATCCTGTTGATGCTGTTGATGATCCGTTGATGCTGTTGCCAGACCGTGCTGCTGCTGGCCTGGGAAAGCACTTCACCTCCCTTGCCTGAAGCGTTCCTTGACGGTGCAAGCATTGCGTGTTGCGAGATCCAGAAACTTTAAAAACGAGTAAGATGAGACCAGAGAGGCTTCTGTTGCAGTTTCTGTATCTTTCGGTGTCTTTCTGTGTCTTTGTTCATTGATGCGTAGGACAAGTCCTTTACAGTTCAGGGACACTGACAGCACTTTGTTTGGTTCTGACAGGATTCCTAGTAACAAATGCCCTGAGTCAGGTCAAGCGCATGCTTAACCATACTTGCATTAGTTTGCAGCAAGATACTTGGTGATACCTGGTGGTGCTTGGTGTATGTTGCCGGCATGGCCTTAGCTCAGGTTGAAACTTCACCAGAAACGAATCGAGAAGGCAAAAAACGCCGCGAGCCCATGGGGCTGGGGATGGCAATGGGGCGTCAGGGGGATGCATTGGGATGTTTTGGGCATGGCGCAAAGCGGCCCATGGGCCTCAGCACTTTCAGCACTTTCATCACTTTCAGCACTTTGGGAAGGCCCCGCAAAATCTCTGCAAAAAATCTTCCGCTGTCGCAGCTTTCGTAGCTCTGAGGTGGTCACAGCCTTGTTGGCCTGTGAGGATGGTGGAGTGGCGTCCAGTGAGAGTTTGTTGGTGACTTGGCCAAAGGATTCACAGGATCCGGAAATTTACAACGGATGAAAATCAAAATCGACGAATTACACGCAGCACAACAAAGCCCTCAACAAGAGCACCTCATTCGGCATTTTGGCATTCGTGAGTTGCACATCACGATGCCACACACAAAACCTGTAAGATCAGGTGATGGCCTCGTTATGTCACACGATTGGCGCCAGGTTATGTCATCGTTATGTCAACTGTCACCGCTGCCTCATTACTGTCCTTCCTTTCTCCTCTGCCTCTGCTCCTTGTCCTGGCGACTGTATCGAACATCGCCCCACTCAATCTGTCACATAGGTCAGATATATCTCAAAATGTCGGTAGAAATGCATGTCAGTACAAATGTCAGTCAATACATCGAAGAATATATGAGTACAATGTTAGTACAAGAATACACGTAAGAACATATGTTTGTAATTGTTTGTAATTGTTTGCAATCGTTTGTAGCTGTTTGTACACATATTAGTCATATTAGTAAAATCAGTGCAATGAACAGTTCTGTCAGAATACATGTCAGAAAATGTCAATCAGTATGTCAGACAATTTCCATTATACGTGTATTTACATATTTATGTAAGTTGTGTGTCATTACAAATGTCGAAGACTTTCTGGGTTTCGGGATTTTCTCCTTACACTTACTTCCAGCACATTGAAAGTCTCATCCACAGACCTGTCGGACATCAGTTTGACAACGAGTTTTTTTGTAGACTTTATATTCTGGTCTACACCTTTCCGTTGACAGTCTAAGAGAACGTGCCTGATGTGCCATACACTGTGGGCAGTCTGAGTTCAGGCAATGAGACAAATCAGAGCGACCCAAAGACTATGAAAAGAAGACCTTTGTTTGTCACCGCTAAAACCTTTCTTGCAAGTTGTCTAGGGCTGGAAAAAGCGTCATTGATTTCCATTGAACACTTTAAATACTCCTAGGGAGGAAAGCCAGGGTAGCCAGTTCTGGTTTGCTTGAGCAAAGAAGGGCGATTCAGCCAGTCCCTTGCAAGCCTTCATGTTCTCTTTGAAACAGTATCATACACCCAAACCGATTTCTTGTAGCGCAACCGTATTTTTCAACAAACCTGCTAGATCAGCAGTTTGGGGGTCCATGTTTCGATCAGCTCATTGGAATGGTTCACCTTCAAAATCCCAATCCATAACTTTCACAAGTGGCTTGGAAAACCCTTCTCACAAGCAACACTTGTCTTCGTTTCAGGCCACTGTCTCCAACTCTACAAAAATTGTTGGTTCTGGTTTTGAACAAATTGGCAAATCATTCGAACCACTGGCTAGCAATTTGAGACGTGTTTGGCTTGATTTGGCACCAGGTTTTGGCCTTCTTCCTGTTGCTGCCACAAGGTTACAAGGAGGTTGGGAGCTCAATGCGCGCACTGATTTGAACTGTTCCTTGTAGGAACTCATGTGAAGTACACAAAGATGCAGATATTAAGGGGTTGTGGATGGTTTTGGGCAAGTAATTGTAGCACACTGTAGCACTCGTCGCCAACAAAGTGCAGACTTCGTGAGTTGCGAAGAGGAGCAGACCATACGCCGTCGATCATGGATCCACAACGACTTGGCAAAGGAAGCAGACCATACGCCAGGCTTCAATCCAGGGTCCAATGGCTTCAGCTTGGAACGCAACTCGATCCAATCGGCTTCACGAGCTGAAGCCAGCGCACATCGGTCTTCCAAGTGTCGCATTGGCGGCATCACTTTGGCTTCACATTGGCATGGCCATGGATCGAAAACAGTGGCGTCAACGATTGGGCGAAGAAGAAGCGACAGAGACTCCATGACCAAAGCAGAGATGTGGTTCATTAGAAAAGATAGCATCACTCCGCCCGACCAGTTAAAGAAAAAATGTGCCGTCACACGAAGAAAATTGATTTTCCCCTTGACTTGTTGATTCCCTCGATATAATATATTGATATAATACTATCTATATAATTCGTATAATACAATATGTCAATCTATAGTATATATGCATATTTATTTATATATTGTAGGGCTTCGCACACCGGCCATGTCCCAAGGGTTGCTGTTGTTGCCCAGAAAGTCGCCCACTTGCTCTGCTGTTGTCGTTGTTGTTGTTGTTGTTGCTGTTGTGATTGTTTCTTTGTTTGTTTCGTTGCTTGTTTCTTTGTTTGTTTCTTTGTTTGTTTCTTTGTTTGTTTCTTTGTTTGTTTCTTTGTTTGCTTCTTTGTTTGTTTCTTTGTTTGCTTCTTTGTTTGCTTCTTTGGCCCGCTTTTTTGTTTGTTTCTTTGTTGGCTTCGTGTTTGGCCTTTGTTTGTTCTGTGTTGTCTTGTTTGATTCTTGTTTGCTCTTTGTTGTTTCGTTGTTTGTTTCTTTGTGTGTTTCTTGTTGCTTCTTTGTTTGTTTCTTTGTGTGTTGATTGTTTGCTTATTTGTCCCCCCATTTGCTTCTTTGTTGCTATTTGTTTGTTTATCTTGTTTGTTTCTTGTTTGTTCTTGTTTGTTTATTTGTTTCTTTGTTTCTTTGTTTTTTTTTTGTTTCTATGTTTGTTTCTTTGTTTGTTTCTTTGTTTGTGTCTTTGTTTGTGTCTTTTGTTGTTTCTTGTCTTGTTTCTTGTTGTTTCTTGTTTGTTCTTTGTTTGTTTCTTTGTTTGTGTCTTTGTTTGTGTCTTTGTTTGTTTTCTGTTTATTTGTTTCTGTTTGTTTCTTTGTTTGTCTTTGTTTGTTTCTTTGTTTTGTTTCTTTGTTTGTTTCTTTGTTTGTTTCTTTGTTTGTTTCTTTGTTTGTTTCTTTGTTTGTTTCTTTGTTTTCTTCTTTGTTTGCTTCTTTGTTTGCTTCTTTGTTTGTTTCTTTGTTTGTTCTTTCTTTGTTTCTTTGTTTGTTTCTTTGTTTGTTTCTTTGTTTGCTTCTTTATTTGTTTCTTTGTTTGTTTCTTTGTTTGTTTCTTTGTTTGCTTCTTTGTTTGTTTCTTTGTTTGCTTCTTTGTTTGCTTCTTTGTGTGTTTCTTTGTTTGTTTCTTTGTTTGCTTCTTTGTTTGCTTCTTTGTTTGCTTCTTTGTTTGTTTCTTTGTTTGCTTCTTTGTTTGTTTCTTTGTTTGCTTCTTTGTTTGTTTCTTTGTTTGCTTCTTTGTTTGTTTCTTTGTTTGTTTCTTTGTTTGCTTCTTTGTTTGCTTCTTTGTTTGTTTCGTTGCTTGTTTCTTTGTTTGTTTCTTTGTTTGTTTCTTTGTTTGCTTCTTTGTTTGTTTGTTTTTTTGTTTGTTTGTTTCTTTGTTTGTTTCTTTGTTTGTTTCTTTGTTTGTTTCTTTGTTTGCTTCATTGTTTGCTTCTTTGTTTGCTTCTTTGTTTGTTTCGTTGTTTGTTTCTTTGTTTGTTTCTTTTTTGCTTCTTTGTTTGCTTCTTTGTTTGCTTCTTTGTGTGTTTCTTTGTTTGTTTCTTTGTTTGTTTCTTTGTTTGCTTCTTTGTTTGCTTCTTTGTTTGTTTCGTTGCTTGTTTCTTTGTTTGTTTCTTTGTTTGCTTCTTTGTTTGTTTCTTTGTTTCTTTCTTTGTTTGTTTCTTTGTTTGTTTCTTTGTTTGTTTCTTTGTTTGCTTCTTTGTTTGCTTCTTTGTTTGTTGCGTTGTTTGTTTCGTTGCTTGTTTATTTGTTTGTTTCTTTGTTTGCTTCTTTGTTTGTTTCGTTGCTTGTTTCTGTGTTTGGTTCTTTGTTTGTTTCTTTGTTTGTTTCTTTGTTTGCTTCTTTGTTTGTTTCTTTGTTTGTTTCGTTGCTTGTTTCTTTGTTTGTTTCTTTGTTTGCTTCTTTGTTTGCTTCTTTGTTTGCTTGTTTGTTTGTTTCTTTGTTTGCTTCTTTGTTTGTTTCGTTGCTTGTTTCTTGGTTTGCTTCTTCGTTTGCTTCTTTGTTTGCTTCTTTGTTTGTTTCGCTGCTTGTTTCTTTGTTTGTTTCTTTGTTTGCTTCTTTGTTTGTTTCGTTGCTTGTTTCTTTGTTTGTTTCT